ATTATTTATTTTTTTTAAATATACTGCTTTTAAATATATATATATATATATATATATATATATATATACATATACAATTGATAAGTAGTATTTTTAGTCAAAATGAGCTGAACACGAATGAACAAATCTTTGTGCTTGTTCTGCACGTTAACTTAGCGAACGAGCCGAACATGAATTTCTTAACAAGTCGAACACTTGTTGTTCGCGAATAACGAGTCATTTTGACATCCCTAATTACGGAATGTAATTTTGTTATGAATTTACAATTTTATTTAAGAAATTGAAAAATTAACATAAGAATATAAGATGCTGGTAGATTTAATAAAATAAGTTGATGCAATGATATATTAAAAAATTAACGATAAAATAAAAATGATAGGAAGGAAAGAAAATAAGCTGGTAAAGAGTGCAATAATATATAAGACTCATAACAGGATAAAAATAAAATAGGGTTAAAAAGTATTGTTTGAAAATTGTACATCTTGTATTTTTATGCAAAAATTTTAAAATTTATTTGACTACAAAATTCTTTATAAAATATTATTTTAAATTGATACCAAACTTTAAATTGAATGCATCAATATCATCCGTAATAAAAACTGAATTTCTTGTTAAGAAATGTTCCAAATCAAGATGGCTATTTCATATACCATTATTTTTAAGCAATTAAAATTGTTCTTAATTTCATCATTGTTAATAAAAAAAAAAAAGAAATGATTCCTTCTATTATGAATGTTATAAAAAATCAACTAATAAGTATAATTGGAGATCATTAAGGGTCTGTTTGGGAGCGCTTTTTAGGTGTGGCGCGGTCATTTGCCGCAACTTTTCACGAAAGTTATCTGTTTGGTTCGCGACTTCGGGCATTTAGGCGGCGGAAGCGGAGCGGAAACGGGTCGGCGGAGCGAAAGCAGACCGCGGCATTACCATCGCGTCTCCCGCTTTCGACCAAAATTTTTACCCTTTACCCTGCATCTACCCTCGATGATTCCCCGCTGCTTCCCTCACATCCCCTTCTCCCGCGTCTACCTTAGGTGATTCCCCGCTGCTTCCCTCGCGTCCCCTTCTCCTTCTCCTCTTTCGTCGTCTCTCGATAGCTAAGGTAAGAAGAGTCATTTTCTTCTTCTATTTGCGGATCCGAGGAAGGATGTGCGTTTTGCGGCTCCTAATATTTTCTCCTTCTCACCTCTTTCTTGTTTCTGTCATTTTTCTTTTCTCCTTCTTTCCTGTGGTGAATCTGTAGCTTCTGTGAATTTGTAGCTTATTAACGAAGTCTGGTTTTAGGTTGATCTTTTGGCACACGAAAAAATATTTCATTTTATTCTTACCTGAATCGAGCCCTTAGATTCAGGATCAAATTGGCATTGTCCATCCAAGTTGCAGATCCTGCGCCCATTTAAGCATGTATGCAGTGTTACATTAGAGATTGTTTTGTGGTTTAAGCATGTATGCATCTGCTAATGGAAGATTGTCGTTTTGGAAGTACCATTCGAAAAAGTATTCCTCTATGAAGTTTTGGGGGTTCTCCATTATGAATCAGATAGTTTAACAGTTCTTTATGATTTCAAATCATTGGGTTATACATTTTAGTTTGATTATTCCTTTCATGAATATAAAAGGATTACATATATAGCATACACAACCTTTTTCCTTGTCGATATGTCTGTTTTATGGTGAAAATTGATCATTATTTGTTTTTCAGTGTTACATTATATTTTTCCTTGCATATATAGCATACACAACCTATTGATGATTGATTCACCTAACTTTCTCTTGTATTCTTTCAATCGGTTTAAATCATATGAGGATTTATGTTTGTTCTGACCCGTATGGATTGCGAAAGCATCTTCTTGGCTCTTAGTGAATGGATCCATGAGATATGTTTCTTTTAAGGAGCCAATATTTTATCTCATATTATTCATGGTTTTTTTGAGAACTTGGTAATTTTTGAAATGAATACATGGTTGTTGGATCAATTACTGTAGAAGTACTTATAACTAAGCAGTATATGCTCTGTGTTCATTTGAGAAAGACTGAATTCTATTCTTTATAGCCTCTTAAGAACTATGTTATCTATTTTGCTACTCATTTGAAATAATTGCTTCTCGATTTGGCTAGTTTCTTGAATATTGGTTTGAACTCATCAACTTGGTTATTTATATGGTTGTGTTAAATGGATTTTCGCTATGAAGTTTTGGAGGTTCTCCGTTATGAATCAAAAGGGGAAGAATGTCTGGTCTTTAGTTTTTGGGATTTTGTTTGATTGCTAGATACATTTTTATTTGCTGAACCTTGAAACTAGAGGGGTTTCCTTTGGTTTGGTTTGTTGAAGCTGAACCTTGAAATTGATTTTTTTTTTTTTTTACGTTGGTTTGATGGAGCCAAGTTTTTGGAACTCTGATGGTTGTTTTGCTTGGGTTTGCTGAAGCTAAACCTTGAGAAATTCGGCAGCCTTCCTTTACTTTGATCAGCTGAAGTTATATCTTG